TTACATTAACAATAATGTGTTTTTGCAATACATTTGTTTCAATGATTATGGATACAAAAATACTATACATTACAAAATTACATCAATGAAATTGTTGTTACACAAATAAGTCAGATATTATATTATTCTAATATATCAAACCATTTTCGAAAACATGAAGAGCTCGCTGAAAAAGGAACTAGCGCCAAATTTTAACCCAGCCTTTTAAACATACTAGAATATTTTTTTAATTGGAACCATTTTTGATTTTTAAAAATGTTTTGAAAACTTTTAAACTTACTTGTATTTTACGTATAATTATACAACATCTATTAACATTTTTGAAATATTGTACATAATTTTATGAAAAATAACTTTAACAATATTCGAATATTCGTATTTTACGAAAAATTAGACCTACGGAAGACCTGTTTACGCCATTCGAAGACAAAGCTTGATAAAAATATTCGGTACATTTTTGAGAAACTTTTGATATTCTTTTGAAGCTTCATGTTACTTACGCTCAAAAGGCAAATATCCATTTGAAACTCCCAAAGACTTGAGTTCATTCAGATGTATTCAAGAATATGTACCAATTTTGAAGAAAATGGGCTGAACGGTTTAGACGCTAGCGTTGACCAATGACGGACTGAGATTTTTCCCTTCAATAGATTTTTCGGTATTAAGGAGTATCAAAATATTGATTTTGGATACAGCTCATATTAGAGAAATTTCCATTATATATTTAGCAACATCATTTATCCACATTTTCGTTACCATGGCTCGGCAATAAGAGTTTTTCTGCTGAAAACTCCCCATTTTCTGGCGCACAATTACGTAATTTTCTCTTCTACGAAATTCCTTCGTAAGAGGGAGAAAAAATATATTGAACAAAAGTTTATATAAAATAAGATTTTCTTTACAATGACCTGAACAGAGGCCAAAAGCGTGCCAAAAAGATTGCATGGAAGGAAACCAGATCCTCTGAGAATATTTATTTTGGAAAAACTCGTACGTATGGTTGAGGTGTTAGTGGTGTTCACAGACTGACAGACGAACAACAGACGGACGTAGTGCCGTCAAGTAGTTCTTTGGTCTCAAGGATCCACGAAACAGGAATTCTGACTACTTCACGTGTTAGAGGATTTTTTCTCAATTTAGCAACTGGATTTATCCCTTTTTTCGTTATCAGGGCCTGTCAACTATTTTTTTCTTCCGAAAATCCGACGCATTACGTAACTTTCCCTATAATACATATATTACTCCGAACATACGTATGTATACGGAAACGTAAAATATTAAAATATATAAATAAAAAATTGTTAAAACGCTGATTTATTTATCTCATACAAACAGGAACCTAAAACTAATAAAAATAAACAGACGTTGTTTCCGCTTAAAATATTACATTTATACATAAATTTCCTCCAGGAGTTCTCATTTTACAAATATAATTGTATTATATATTGAAATGGTAATGAAAAAACATGAAATGATTTAAACATAGGTCTACACAATTAAAATAATTAAAGATGTTGTCATTGCCAACAATATTTTTTAATTCAATAGCAGCTTTTGATGGCTTAGCCATCATCAGGATGATGATGGCTAAGCCATCGAAAGCTGCTATTGAATTAAAAAATATTGTTGGCAATGACAACATCTTTAATTATTTTAAAAATGCCAAAGATATCTTACCACAACACCTATACTACACAATTAAATTGTGTCAACCACTGATGGATGAGCTAATATTTTTAAAATTTTGAATGTCCTGTGTGTGTGTGTGTGTGGTGCATGAGCACAGAAAATTATGGAATGTTCTTGATATTTTTAGTCATGCCTTACCCAAAAAAGAGTGGAAGTGTACGCAATGAGAACAATAATTTATCGTTATGTCTGGCCAGAAAGCACATGAGCAGATGATGAGAGCATAGAATGAAGGTTTCATAAGTAAAATGAAATGAATACTGGTAACTTTTGCTGCTACCGGTGTAACATATTTCAATGCATATTTATTGTCACAATATATGGTAAATGGAGTATATTTTTATTCTTGCAATTTATTTTCATTACCAGGCTCAGAATATGCAATTAGGTGGGGCCCCCGGACACAATACACTCCCCAAAGCAATATTATTTGTTACCTAACTTGGCAAACTTTAATCGCAACTTCTAAAAGCCATTTCGTTATTACCATAAATCAACTTGTGTAAAGTTTGAAGTACGTATTTTATTATGAGGACGCGAAGATGTTTCCTAAATTCGTAATTTGATATCCGGGGGCCTCAATTATTTATTGCTTCATTGAAAGTTGAGCAGACTCACAACTGATGGTGTATTATTAGGTGGTCGTGAAAGAAAGATTCCCTTTTGTCAATTCAGATCAGATATATTAATGTTTTCGAGGCTTAATTAAAACTAATTTTAGCAAGCATTAGTGCATCGAAACGAGCAGATGCGTGCATCTTGAAAAAAGAAATGGGAGACAGTTGAATTTTTATTCCAAGTTGTCTTTCATTAATAATTTTGATCGTGTCTATTTCTGTGTCTGAAACCTGCAAAAATCATTTCTGATGCAAGCTCGGGATTTGATTGAAGTAGCTGGGAATGATCTAAAAACATTGGAGGGGATTTTGACAAAGCCATATCGGATACAGTATTTGGCTACATCTTGGGGCGTAAAAGTCGCGTTTTGCAAGGAACGTTTAATGAATCAAATAACCTATTCATTTGCGATTATTCTGTCACAATAATTGTTGTTTTCAGACGAAGAACTTTTAAATAAAATCGGAAAGTTCAGAGAGAAATACGAGTATTATCACGTCGTAACTGAACAGTGTTTTTTTAAATTTTTTTGTTGCGTCTAAATTGATGCAACTCGTCTCCAAACACCTTGGGCGTTGAGCGTTTTGCACTTGGAAGTAATGCTCCATTGATAATAGCGCTTAGGAATATCCTCTATTAACATTATCTGGCATTATACATCACGTCTCGTCGCAGTCAACTGTCGAGAGTACCGTCAGGTAGCATCTCTGCGTATGTGCCTCCTACCACGCGCTCTTGCGGCACTACCTAGCGACCATAAATTAGGAATTAGGGTAGGGATAGGGTTACGGACACTTCACAGGGGTTGAACTAGTCCTTGTAAAGCAGCCAAACGTGTTTAGTTAGAACAAATTTCACATGAAATGGTCCGGAAATCGACGGGAACTAACCTGAATCTTCTTGTTGAAAGGCGAGCGCCCTGTATCACGTGATTACTGATGTGTTCTCGGCTATAACTCTTGCGTAGTTGAGAGCACGAATTTCGAAGATTATTCAGATAGTTGACCAACTTGGGTTCTTCACTCTTTTAGGTAGCTTTATAGACGTCTGCTCAGTATATTTGCTGTTTTTTCTAACCATCCTCGTGGTGGTCCTGCCTGGAGAGTGATCTTTTTCAAAATTGAAATTTATCAAAAATTACCAGAGAAATTTGATGGGACAGAAGAGACTGGCCGACCTTTTCATATTGTTGAAGGAGAGGTGACGAACTCGTCAAAAGCGAACTTGGTTGACGTTTTATTGTATTGTATATATTTTGTTGTATTGTACATATTATATGACGTTGTATTGTATATATTATATGACGTTGTACTTTATATATTGTAATATTGTATGGTTCGTCAAAGCAAAAGTGCGCAAGGCTTGATTCTCAATTTTGTGACAGATTATATTTAATAAAGTTTCTATGAGTTTTCAGGGCATAATTTGTATTTGGACAAAATGTTTTTCAAGGAGGGGGCGATTAAGGTTTTGAACCGTAGCCTTAAAACGGCTAGTTTTCAAATAATCGACTTTCATCATTTATTAAAATATTTTTAGCAGATATTGTGTATATTCACATGTCTCAAGTGTTAAAACATTTTCCATCAGATATGTAATTGATGAAATGCTGACTGATGAAGGGCATACTGTTTCAATGCTTCCTCCTATCACAGCTTTTCTAATCCAATTGAATATGTATGGTCCCAGACGAAGGGAATACTTCGATATAAATGTCCTTGAAAGATCTGGCCAGAGAATGGAAAGGGGGTGAGCCAATAAACTTTTATGACGCATTTAGCTCAAGGATAATGAGAATCAATGTCTTAAATTCACTATAGTGTTATGAATATATTACTTGTAGTATTTTTAAAGGTGTCAACTACTGCCTGGGAAAATGCAGTGAAGCATGCGGATAATGTTATTGTCGAATTTAGAGAGAAAGATGGGGAAAATTGTGAAAACAAAGAATATATAACACATGTGAGCAGGAACAATGACAGTGTTGATGAACATTTCATGGAAAATATCTATATGTAACTATTGTGAAATAAATTTGCTTGCTAATACTTTTTTAGAAATAAATAGTGTTCTGAAAATAGTGTAACGTATTATTCTTAGTTATTGAGGAGAATGAGGTGAATGAGGAGTGAAATATATTATTATAAGACAGGAGCGGTTCTGAAAGGCAGATAAATTATATTTAAGAAATACACTGATATAATTTTTTTTTATTTTCATTTAATTCATTCAACATTCTTATCAATCATTAAGAACCTAACAAATGTAATTTATTATCTTATTTTTCCAAAGTATTCTAATGATATTTGCATTCTACAAGAAGCAAAACATTTACCGTTCCATATTTACGCATTGTGATTGTCAGGAGAAAATATGAAAATAATTGGTCTAAGTGATTAATATTTCAATATATCAAATCATTCAGTATACTAAAATTAACGTTAAAACAAAATTGATGAAAAATTACTCGAATAGCATATAGTTGACTACAGCGCCAAAAGCTCGGCAGTCAGTACCGAATGTGCCAATTTCAAAATTCCAGGAACCAAAGCACGCTGAAGTAAGTATTTGCGGGGTACGAGATGGTGGCTTGAAAATCTCATGGCGAGAAATCTTGAGACGCGCATTTAATTAGCTCGAGGTTTTCCTAAACAATGTAACTGGTGTCGCCTGGAAGTTGCAACCCGATCACCTCAGAAACGTCGCAGAATCTCACTACCCATGGGCAGCACAAAGAAGTGGATGACCTCCACCAGACTCAGCAGACTGGCGCCCATTAGCAGACCCAGGGTGCCACCAATGTTCACTGCAAGAAGAAGAAAGTAACCTTCAACATATATCAGACTGGCAACCATCAGCAGCCCCAAGGTGTTGCCGTTGAACACTGAAAAATGAAGTGAATTAATTTTAATAGACTGATGAAATTGTCACCTAACAGGTGGCCTAACAGATTGCCTTGACACATTCACATGAAAGAGAGGTGGATATAGGTGCTGAGCTCCGTAAGACTCAGCAGACTGGCTGTTTTCACAGTGCATCTACAGGGCTAGGGTACTGCCAACGTTAACTGCAAAACCAAGAAGATTTAGCTAATGACCACCATATTTAACGAATTGTTGCTTATCAGCAGCCCAGGGTACCACCGATGTTTACTGCAAAAAGAAGTGGCTGACCACCAGAGACAAGACTGGCACTCATCAGCAGTTTCAGGATGCCGACGATATTCACTGAAAAAGAAGTGGATGATCTACATTAGATTCAGCAGACTGATATTTATCAGCAGCCTCAAAATACTGTTGATGAACACTGCAAAACGAAGTGAATTGACCTTCACTAGACTGAGATTGGCACCCAACAGTTGGCCAAATTGGCTCAGAAATTGAAAAAGAGGTGGATGTAATGGCTGACCTCCAGAATAGTCAGCAGGCTGGCGCCCATCTACAGTGACAGGGTACCGTCGTAATTCACTGCAAAATGAAGTGTATGACCTCTACTAAGCTGAGCAGGCTCGTCCCGTTTATCACCCACAGGAAGCCACAGATGAACCAATCGAAAACAAGAGAATGGAGTTTATGATCATCTCCACATTGAATGACCTTTTTGCCTTTCAGCAGTCAAGAGAGCCGTTCATGTTCACTGTAAAAATAAGTGTTTGACATCCTGTTGACTGAAAAGACTGACTCCTATCAGTCAGCTAAATGTGCTGCTGATTTTCACTGCACAAAGTCCTCAGGAAACCGCCGATATTCACTGTAAAAAACAACTAATTCGGAATCTCTAGACATTGCTCAAGAAAACGCATTGATTAGACTTTGTCTCGAAACAAAAAGGTTTAACTGTTTTTGTTGTTAGATAAATCTATATATTTGCTTTTCGAATACATTTATTTTTATTTTTAAATTACACAAAGCATTAAACAACATTAAACACAAAGCCAGTATTTTATTCACTCATACGTCAGCACTATTTTCTAAATTGACAACTCTAAAAAAGGGTCATATCTCATAAAATCTCACAAAAATTAGTAATACTTACCTACCAGATCTAGAAGTGAGCGAACAATAACCCGCTGATAACGTAAAATGGGTAACTGAGTCAAAAATATTTCAAAACTGAATTCCCCTTGCCTGTGAACAAAATATTTTTGTTATATTCAATACATATAGATATTTTCCAGATTTATAATTATTCGTATCTGTTATGGGAGTGCGACTTAGTGCAATAGATGGTGCTGCTGCTAGTGCCAGTTAGAGGGAAAAAAGCGGCCAGGAGGCGCTGGTTATTGCCTCCTGGCCGCTTGCTTCCTGCTCTGTGGCGATGGTTGCTCTGGCGGGGAGAAGGAAGCGGCCCCTCTGAAATAACAAGGGCGTGGTGTATTTTGCCAATGACTGGAAATTCCTAATTCCCCTTTGTAATGTTTTCAGAAGGCATTCTTTAAACCTAAAACTGTTTATCTAATAAAATGTCGTAGGCATCCGCGGCCAGAGTCAAGTATATGATCTTGGCTGTCCGGGTGACGCCGCATCGAAAGCTGTGTTGCCGACGTTTCGACCATCTTGTCGTGGTCTTCCTCAGGCACACCAGCGTACCAGCTCTGAGGAAGACCACAGCAAGATGGTCGAAACGTCGGCAACACAGCCTTCGACGCGGGGTCACCCGGACAGCCAAGATCATGCACAATTTAATAAGATGTTCTAAAAGTGCAAATGCCGGCCAAGCCTATGGTGCCAATAACGTTGATGTGATTTGACGATGAATTTGACGTGAGCAATGTCCACTAGAGTACCAAAAATACCATGGAACTGTTGCATCAATTGCACATACAACAGATTCAATGAAGTGTCGTATTGAGTTTGAATTGCCAGAGCTGTCAACATCAAAAGGTATGATACAGAGATAACAATTTGGATTGCAGGATATATGGTCAATAATTTCTGAAACTGCGTTTGTTCATTCGTACCTTTTGACGAATATATTTCTGTGATTTTAGAAGTTTCGTTTTATATCACTTGCTCTGATTATGTGTTCCATTTCCTTTGTGTTATGGGGTAAGTGGTGAAATTTACGGTCAGTATGTTACTCAAACTTTTATTTTTCACAACATTTAATTAAAAATGCATGCAACATTTATTATCTCTTAGAGTACATTTACAGCAATTACTTACTACGACATACAATAAAGCTCAGATGCGAAGGTATTAATGGTAAGGGAAACTCGAGAGAATTGTTTACAGAAGTCTGACGTATCTCTGGTTTAACTATTTTTATTTCTTGGTATGAGCTGCCACGTGATATTATATTGTAAAACTGTGGTAGACTCAAATCAGCAAGTTTGTGTTTCTCTGTATTCACAGAAATGAAAGGTAAACGCATTTTAATGTTTGCTGCAAAAAAGTGGGTTTATCTAGTTTTCTGTGACAAAATGTAAAGCCACCATTGTGTGTGATACGATAAATGTAAATTAAATGATGTCGAGGACGGAGCTAACCGCATTTAGCAGTACGGCAAAGCATTATATCATAACCTTGTATTATATTGTTAAGCTATTGCGGCGAAAGTGTAACGGTTACCGTATCTGTTTGTTATACCCAAATTAACGTGTTAAATCTCGATTGAAGCTGTGGATTTTTAAGGGCGACAAAATCCTTCGTACACTTTCCTTCGGAGGGGAAGTGAAACAGGCTGTCCTACTTTATTTACATGTAAAAGATCCTCAAGCGTAAATTAAGTCTCTGAAATAAATGCAAATCACCAGTTTCTTTGCCTAAGAAGTACCTCATTTCACCGCTAGTTGGTAGAAGAACAGTAGTAAAAATTTGTGTGGTCAGACGGAAGAACAGGCCTCATGGCCTGTGTCTCACCACATAAAATAAGGTAATTTAATTCAGTTGAAACTACAATTTAATGGTGCATGATAAGATAGTATAAACCACTTGGAGGCTAAACTATTGGTAAAAAATTGTGATTAAGGTTTGCATAGATTTCCCCGCAGCGTTCATAACTGTCCTTTCTTTGAATTCATGCGGATTACATGGAAGCAAAACGCAATGAATGAATTACCAGAACACTGGGACCGAAAGATTTACATCTCCACTAAAACATATTTTCCCTTTTTGACATTTATTCATCGTGTCATAGATCATAATGAAACTTCCTTTTCTGTAAACAAAATCTAATTGTAAGATTTATCACAACTTTATCATAGAATGCACTTTGTTTTTTTTTTAATTTTGAATTTAAAAAATGTTTAATAAAACACACAAAAATGTTTGTCAAAGTACTCCATGTTTTATATAATACAATTTTACCCAGGCATTACTTTGTGTAAATGCGTAGATATTTGTATAGTATTTTATATTACCCATCATTATATGCATAAAAATGTTTAGGATATAAAGGAATGGAGGAAAATATATTTAATCAGAAAGCCGCTAAAATATTTAGAGTTACCACTGTCTCTACCAAATTTTTCAATTATTCACTCAACACAAATTGCCCCTGTGTGCCTCATACTTATTACTCGAATGCAGAAAAAATATACAATGACTACAAAAGCGTGAAAAAAACAATTTCTAATATTGTGCTTTGTCATTTACCTGTATCCTTCATAAGTAGTTCGTATGTCCATAGAGTTACAATTCAGAAGGCAGGGGCAATATATGCCCGTTGTTTCATCCGAATTTTGTCGGAGAATTAACCAGTGTCTGGCAGTATCCAAGAGACAAAATAATCCTTCCATATTGCACACATATTTTGAATCTGAAAATCAAGCATTTAAGGAAAAACATTATTCTTCTATAAATTTACCCTAGTGCAGTCTGTCTCACATACCCATTACAAACCAGTGAAGCCAGGGGTTATGTTAGCATTAGAAGGTTGTACTGGTAAAGTCTTCATGCAACAAACACAACTGAAACCATTAATGGCTACCATGTGATGTCATCTATGCATATATGGGGTTGAAACTTACAGCCTTACTATCCCAGTTCTTTTACACAACAACTTCAAAACTCTCTACAACCAGAACGGTTGAATTTACTGTAATAATCATAACAATTATTAAACGTAACGGCTGATGATTTCGCCGGGGTCCGCCCCAGCCGGTGTGAACAATGTCTCACAAATACGGGAACGAACGACGCGAGATTAATGTTCGTCGGCTATTCTAATATTTTCAGTGACCATTCTCGGCTTCGCACAGATGTCTGTTCGGCACTGTTCACTATTATGTTGTTCCAGTGCGGGATCACGACACTAGCCCACCGGCCACGCGATTTACTATATTATTGGTCTTTCTCAATTATGATGCGCAATTTCATTCCGCTAATCATTTCACTATCAATCCTTGGGGAACTTGGTTCTACACTCGGCGGCCTCACTTATTCCAAACTGCATTTAATAACTACAGGAACTCTTGGGCGCATCACAGCCCCGTCCGTACTTCACCGGATGCCTCTCCGCACTGCACTAACCGTCGCTCGCCTCGCCGGTTCTCCCCCGATTTCACCGTTGGTGGTGGCGGCGGAGTTACTGAACTGATCAACTCAAATGTTTTGTTTTAATTTAGAATTTGTGATTTTTTTACTAGTTCTTATTATAGGAACGTTCTTCGTTTCAATATATATATATACATATATATATATATATATCGTTATTTTAATAGGCTTGTTGCGATCGGTTGCTGAAATTTCTGTGTAGATAGACGTCTCAGGCAGTACTAAGCTTTTCAATTTGATTCTCACAATGTACATAGACCGTTTGTACTGACCTAACAAACATTTGACAACAGTGTCAAGAGCGTCCAGGCCTTTTTCCTGGCTGCATATAAACTTGACATGCACCTACCTGACTCCGACCCGAGTAGATGAGGTCAATAATTATTAACTTACAGCGAATGTCGTATCAAGATTACACTAGAACTTTACCAGAAAGATTGATCCACCCAAGTATACCGCATAACCACATCACGAAACATAATATATATATATATAATATATATAATATATATATATATGATATAATATATTAAATATTAATGTGGACGATCTAGTCAAAAGTCGCGCAGTTTACGCAGCAGTCTACTGTTTGCAACAGTCGCGCTCCCAACTCTCCGGTCTGACGGCCCGGTCGCCGGTCACAAGAGCATGTTACAAACTGCACGGTGATAGGGAAAGCGATCGTAGAGGGTGAGCAGGTTCTCAGCATGTTAACTCAGTCCTCTGAGAAAGGATAGTCACAATGAGGCTTGAGGTCACGACGTGACGCGCCGGCATGAGGGGGAGGTGCCAGTTGCCATTTCTGGAGGTGAGCGCGCTAACTGCGGCACTTCCACGATGGCAGCCGGAGAAGAGTACCGGTCGTCAACGTGTAGAGCGGGTTTCTCGGTCTTAAGAAGGGAGTCACAATGAACTTGAGGAACTCACTCGACCGCGGCGGCATGAGGGGAGCAGGTGCAGTTTGCATGCGGAGGGTGAGCGCCGCATTGCGGCCCTCCACGAGGCAAGCCGTGTAGAGAGTAGGCGGTTCGTAGGTAGGGAGCGGGTTCTCGTCTTTAAGAAGGGAGTCAACCAATGAGACTTGAGGAACTCACCGGACTCGCGGCATGAGGGGAAGAGTGCAGTTGGCAGAGCGGAGGTGAGCGCCGCATTGCGGCACTCCCACGAGGCATAGCGCCGTGTAGTGAGTCACTGGTTCTGTAGGGGTGAGCGGGTTCTCGTCTTACAGAAGGGAGTCAACAAATGAGACTTTGAGGAACTACCGACGCGCGGCATGAGGGAGAGCGTGCCAGTCTGCAGACCGGAGGTGAGCGCGCAATGCGGCCCTCGCCGAGGCAAGCCCCGTGTAGGAGTAGCGGTCGTCACAGGTGAGCGGCGTTCTCGTCTTAAGAGGAGTCCCCCAAAATTGAAAGACCCCCCCCTCTGAGGTAACTCACCGACGCGCGGCATGAGGGGAGAGGTTGGCAGTTGCACGAGGCGGAGGTGAGCGGCATGCGGACTCCAACGAGCGCAGCCCGTGTTAGGTGCTACCGGTCGTAAGGGTGAGGGGGTTACGTCGTCTTAAGAAAGGGAGTCCAAATGAGACTTGAGGAACTCATCACCGGACGCGCGGCATGGAGTAGAGGTGCAGTTGCAGAAGGCGGGAGGTGAACGCGCAAATGCGGCACTCCACGGAGCAGCCGTGTTAGAAAGGTAGCGGTCGTACAGGCTGAGCGGGTTTCGGTCTTAAGAAGGGAGTCACCAATGAGCTCTTGAAGGAACTCAGACCGACGCGGGCGCATGACCGGGGACAGTGCACGTGCAAGTGCGGAGGTTGAGCGCGCGCATGCGGCACTCCGAGAATGCAGCCCGTGAGCAGAGCTAGCGGTCGTACAGGGTCGAGCCGGTTTCTCGTCTACAGAAAGGGACAGTCACAATGGAGCTTGAGGAACTCAGCCCGACCGCGGGGCAATGAAGGGGAAGAGGTTGCAGGTTGCAGAGCGGAGGTGAGCGCGCATCGCGGCACTTCCACGAAGGCAGGGCCCGTGTATGAGACCGCGTAACAGGGTGAGGCGGGTTTCGTCTTAAAGAAGGGGTCCAATGAACTTGAGAACTCACGACAGCGGCGGCATGAGGGGAGATGTGCAGTTGCAGAGGCGGAAGTGGAAGCGCGCAATGCGGCACTCCACGAGGCAGACCCGTGTAGGTAACCGGTCGTACAGGGTTAGCGGGGTTCTCGTCTTAGAACGGGAGCTCACAGATGAGACTTGAGGAACTCACCGACGCGCGCATGAGGGAGATGTGCAGTTGCAGAGGCGGAGGTGAGCTGGCTGCGCAGCTACCAGAGGCAGCCCGTGTAGGAGTACGGTCGTACAGGGGTGAGGGGTTCTCCTCTGGGAAACGGCAATCTCTGCTGCTGGGAGTGTCGCCTCGCCGCAGAACGACGCTCATTCACCACCTGCGAGTGGAACAGCATACACACGATTAATATGAACTTGTACTTTTACAGAATAGCACAGACTATCTCGTACTTGTTACTTTGTCTCCTCAGTCTAAGCAATTTTTTGTGCTATTATCCACATCCCTTCTCCGTTGCTATATAATATTTTTTTATGTATTCTCAATTTTTTATGGTTTACTAATAGCGAATTGAAGTTATGAGTTATTGACGTATTAAATCGGGTTTTACAGTGTGACCAAGTTATAAGCATGCTGGTCATACTGGGATTTGGCCACAGCGAACGAGGCTACGGATGCCGGGAAATCGAAACATGCCGATCGCAGAAGGTAGAGATGGTGTCTTTTCGCTACCGGAATGTTCAAATTGTTTTGACATTATAGTACATAACGGATCTAGTCATCATTGGCTCTAATGCATTCTTGACATCTATACAAGTTATGATTTTCTTAGTAAACGATGTTCTGTGGTATTGCAGAGATCTGTTTATGTAAAGTATGCCTTAATTCTTCGGTGTAGGAATTTGACGCATGTATGTGTCTTTCAAGAATCTTCAAAGAATTAAATCGCTCGGAGTTCGATCAGAATAGCGTGCAGGACACAAACTACGTTTAAAATACTTCCGCCTCTATAAACGCCATATAAGCACTTTAGAAGGGGTAGGGACAGAATCCTGTTGAAAATGGCCGTATTTAAGCGTTTCATTTGTCAACGTTTCGAAGAAATCCTCCAAAATACAAAGCACATAACGATTTAACCCATTTTACGCATGAGTCATACACAAACCCCGTTTGATAGTGAACTTCCGTTTGATGAACGAGCCTTCACAAAGTGACTATTCAACCAAACTGGAAAAAACTGGCCTTTTGCAAAAGATGCAAGAATGGAGAAACAGAATGTCGTATATAAAATCAATTGCACTCATTGCCCCAAATTATATTTGCCTGATCCATAGAAATGTCAACAAAGAGTATCTGACATAAAAAGGGACATACATTTTTTTTTCAAAAACTTAACTCCGTCTCGAGACATTAGCTTGAGACAGGACACATCATGGATTTTGGGCAAGTAAAGATTCTGGACCATAAAGTGCGGAAAGGCACGAGAATTGCATCAGAGACGTTAGTATAAAACTAAATAAAAATTTAAACACAAACTATGATAGAATTCAATACCTTCACCGTAATTTACGACAATTTGCTTTTACGTTTTAATAATCAAAATGAAAATTAATTATCTCTTACTCATTCCCCCCTTCTTTGACGGTTAAAATACTTGGCTCGTCTCCAGTCTTTTTAAATTAGACGGATGACTGGAGGGAGCAGCAGAATTGCGCACGCTCACAATATTAATACATTTTCTATAATATTGTAAATAATGTTAATAGTTTCTAATACTTAAAATTGCATTCCAACTCTATATAAGATAAAGGTAAGCTTCTGTCAACTTACATACACAACTGTAATGGAAATGATACCACCGTAAATTTACATCTACGCTATAATCAATTTTTTATTGTGCATTTTTTAAATCATATATCTGAATATGGCTATATGGAGTAGCTGAAACGTTACGATAAGTGTAAAAACATTACACTTAGAGTAATCAGAGAATGTATATGAGTAAATAAACTTTGTCTGAAATTTGAAGAGGAACTATTTGTTTTAATGAATGTTACCTTTTTACCTGTTACGATTCCTGGAAGTTCTATTGGTTGAAACCACCTATTGAATTGATGGCAACTAACCACAAATTATCAGCGTTTTCTTTTCCAATAATAACAAATTAGTCATAATTGTTTCAAACTATATTGTGCTCGTTAATGATATGATTAAATTTTCCTTCTATACAACACTTGTAGTTCCGTACGGTTCTGGTTTAAAGTTCGTGAGCTCACTGGGATCTTCGCATGCTATGATGATTTCTCAAAAGACTACCACAATTTCCTGCTTGATGTAGGATGTCCTCGTTGAAGTCCTTATTATTGTGATCTTGCCTAACGTCAGAGTAGGTTTAAAAATGTTCCCGGGGTATTATAAAGTATTTGGTATTTTCATAAAATTTTATAATTGCAGCTAAGTTAATGCGCTACCTCGACATGCGTTGGCTAATCTTAGGATGGTAACACATATACGAGACTACCTTCAACCTCAGCTGCTAAAAATCCTCCCCATCTACGGATCTATTCTAATGTAAATCCCTTTCTAACACTATAATTTATTTTAAATTACATATTACAACTGTAATTATAATTATACCTTAGACGTCTTACTTCATGCAATACAAAGCCGTCAAAATTATAAGTCTCACGCTTCCCTATTATCGAGCTATTACCCCAGTCTCAACTGCATTCGTTCTATTCGGCGGATATCGGGAGAGGGATTACTTGGTTATTCTCACAGAATCATGACTTCCAATGCCTTCGTCACCTCCTGCATGGAATGTTGTTGGGGCCGTGTTTTCCGAATGAATAGCGTTGTCATCAAACATGTAATATTATAACTTAATTATCGGTCGTCCAAACAACGTGTATTCCTTGGCTGTAAGGGTCTTACATGTATACATTTCCATCGCATTTACGGATAACGCTTGATCCAGTTTCTCCTTTTCAAAACCCAAACGAGGTTTTCAGGCTTACAACAAATGAGACTGATACATCTCTTGTAAAAATGTCACAAGTCTAACTTTAAGACTTTGATTTTTTTAAAGCATACAACATTGCCACTATTGGACATACCGTATATCCCAAAGCCCTAGGATACACACTTTCTTATTTATTCGCTATGGTAATATTTGTGAATGCGTAGTGGCTGTTGCGTGTTCGTTTTATCTTCAAATATTTCAGAACTAACTGACCCCGTGTGATTGAGGCAAAGGAAGACCTGTAGAAACTGAAGGGTAGAAAATACTGCATATTCATGGGCATTAATTGTGTTTTATATTTACCAAGTTCTTTACAACATATATACGTGGATATAGTTTTGGCTTGTAACATCAAATCCTGTTATTAACCTTACCTTAATGTATGTACCAAAATATATAAAATACAATTTTCAAGTAATCAGAACACCTTTACCTCTTTCATGTTTCAGTAGATATAATAATTATATATATGAGGGAGGACATTGAATACTTACAATTGATAGTCACAAACAATTGTTTTAACGATCACACAACACAATGATCTGGAAGTAAAACATGCTGCTTATCGATTTCCCGTGATATTTTCTTGTTGCGCATGACACCATCGTCCCGTTCTAGCTGCATATTTCAGAAATGCAAATTTCATAATATCTTATAAATAAAAGCAATTCTGCTATCTATTCAAGTGACTAGTAACCTCCAATCTAATGGAAAGTGTCTAATACTACTTGTTTGGTATATCACTTGTTTAAAACCGTTTACTAGGAGAAGAGATGTATAGGAAGAACGTCAAAATCGTTCTCACTAAAGCTTTAATATAAAAAAATTTGCTATCCTTTACATTTTTTCTCTAAAATCTTCTTAATGCAGGACGAGCGTGATCTATTCAGTAGTAAGACTTACAGGTTTTTGTAAGGATTTGTCTTCTAAATTACCAAAGCGTCATATTTTCTTAGCGTATGTCATACATGAGTTGTTATTTAATGGAGTCAGTTTCCCTTTCATACAAGTTTTAAGTTATATAAATTCATTTTATTACCTCAGTTAAAGATACGCTTCGAACCATTGTGGCTGGAAATTTATCAACGACAAAGCATTCTGAACCTGAGAAGCAAAAATCAGGCACATCATGTGGTCCTGTAATAAACACCTGACAACTAGTGCGGGTTTTAACACGCAATATGCCGGGACCGTTCTCCACGTTAGAAATCATGCTGAATGACTGGCCCCTAGAAAAATATTATGAAGTGTTATGAGAAATGCAGAACAGTGTACGTATTTAACACAATATATGTTCACTTTGGTCCCAAGAATGGTTACGAGTCTCCTATATAGAAGCATTTCAGAATTCATTTAGTGAAACAATTGCCACTAAAATAATCATACGCAAGCTTCCGCGGCTCGAATCCATGAATTCTCGGCTATCCGGGAGACGCCGCGTCGTTGGCTGGGGTGCCGACGTTTCGCCTGATAGCCGAGAATTCACTAATATAATCAAGAATGTATGACGAAAAAAACGTGATGACTACTCTCACTTAAGTAGTTTTGTTCGGTTCCATTTCGTTTCAAACGGACGCAATTCAAGAATCAAACGCACCAGCACCTGTTGTTCAATTCGCCATTAATTCTATTGGTTAAAGAATTCCGTACCTGCTTATTTGATTGTTAATTGCAAAGCAAGTTCCAAGGAATGTGTCAATTGGATGAAAGAATTCACAGCAGTTGAAAGGAATCCCGTTCCATTGACATTCCTCAAATATGTTGGTGCAGTTCAATCGAAACTGAAACAATAAGCCGTATTTATTTCAATGCTTGTTTGCAGGCATTGAAAAGCAAATCACATATCAATATAGATATATAATTTATCCTAATACATACATGATAAATTGAAAAATAATAAAATCTATTTATAAATTTTCTATTCTAATACATTCCTTAAAGCTGTTCGTTTAATGTTTTAAGCAATTTGAAAATATCGAAAAGAAATAGCTTTCCGTCATTAAATTGTATCGGGCTGAGTTCTTACAAACTAATCAAAATAAATATTAATGTAAAATATATTGGGTATATATGCTGGCTTTGCAATAAGTTTTTCAATCGAAAAATCGCCATTTTCTCTCGCAACATTTCCATATTTTCTATATTTTGCCTTAGCAGTACACGAGTATGTGTAAGTGCACATGAAGTTGTTTTATTAGTGAGAATGTAAAAGTGCACTGTAAGTTGTAATATGAGAAAACAAGTTGCGTTTAGAATACAAATTCTAACCTCAATATATACGGTATAATATATGTTCGAAAACATTTGAACTTAATCTACATGTAGCACAAAAATGTTTTCTAAACGTTCAATTAATAATTTTGAGGGAGTCACAAAGTTAAAATTAAACATGAAATAAAATATTTTTATACTCAGTTCTCGCACTGAGTAACAATCCCGCAGGAGTGTCTCATTTGTTCTCTTTTTTCAGCAACTCACTACTCGCGTCGGATATGTGCGCTCTACACGAGCGGACCTAGCCTCACCTCGCAATGTATTCTCAGAAAAGACTCCGCTTTCACCGAAGAGCTATAGAACGGAATGTCCACAGTCTACGTAAAAGCGTTCTGCTGGCTATTCTGCAGTGTTTTTTTATTTGACTATTAAAGACACGTGGTCAGCAAATGTACTTATATTTACTAAATACACATAAAAATACCGAATTTCATGCTCCATATACCCCAAAAATATATCAGTTGGATAGCTTACAAAATAAATGGACTTAATTGCTAAATAAATTTTGATTGGTAAATAAATTCTACAAAACTGCAGATCGGCCAACAGTGATATTTTCGCGTTTATGCCAACTCGGACCACGAGTGCAGCCGGTGCAAGTACATTTCTATGAGGGATCTGCATTTTAGTTGAATCCCGATTTTTATCCCCCAATGTGTTTAGCCCTGGGGTATGAATTATTGATGATGATGATGGTGATGGTGGTGAGAGGTGTATGGACGGCACACATGTATATACACAAATACATTGATGACCGACGTGGGACTGGAAACGGCGGTCTTGTCTGAGGTCGCTACGGAACCACTACCTTAACGATATCAACCGACAGGCCAGCAAGTGGATTATATGAACAAATAAAAACAGTAATCCATGAAGTATCGTTTAAAGCAACAAAAAGCATCATGGAGGTCAAAAGCCCAAAATGAAGGAAAGGAAAACATACTGGTGGAATGAATATTTGAAGCAAATTATTGAAAAGAAGAAAGTTAAATATAAAAAGTGGCTAAGCTCATAAGAGCCCAAGGAAGATCAGAAGGTTGTAATATCAATAGAAAGGTCAAAAGAGCGTTAACAAAAGTCAAGACACAGGTTTGGGAAAGAAAATGCTTTGGCGAAAATAGGTTAATTGAAAGCAATAAGTCTAGAGAAGCATGGAAAACGATAAAAGAAATAAAAACTGTAAATTGTCATGTAAATCCAGAATGACAACGATCACCATTAAACAGTGGGAGGTATATTTTGAAGGACGTTTGAGAGAGGACAGAGCAGGATACAAGTACATCAGTTATAATGCAGATAATGCACATGAAGACATCCCCCAAACAACTCTAAAATAATTAAAAAACGCCCTGAGTGGAATGAAAAATAATAGATACCCAGGCCCAGGAGGGATACTGGTTCAACTGTTAAAATACTTTCCAGATCAAATGAAAGAAATTATTATAGAACCATTTAATAAAGTGTATCATATATCAAGAAAAAAATGCTCAAGAAATTGTTCTTATTTAATTTTAAAGCATTTTGAAAACCTACATAATCATTACCATCTGGCTTGGTGATACAATGATTAATCATACCTTAGAAACGATTACTTCCAGATCTGACGTGGGACAGAAATTTTTCTTAGATGCACACAATCTGCGATAATAGGATCCACTTCCTATTTCGTATCCTTCAAAGTAGCGTGCCAGTCTCACTAAATCGAGCCTCCGCAGAAATTTTTCTTTAGGAATATCAGTCCTGTGTGGAGGAAGTGTCCATAATATAATTTTATAATGACCAGCATGTTTTTGATTTAACGTGTCCAAAATTATTTTCAAGAGACAATTGAAAAACAAACTAGCGGCCTTCAACAACAAAAATGCTCTGAACAATAACTCTGAACAATAACACAAAAAATGTTGGTACCTATAAGTTTCATAGAGCCAGTTTGTAAACTCGGGAGTCAAATCTTTATACTCTCGCGCGTATTCGCAAACCGTGACTGAGGGAAATGTTGTGTTCCAGTTGATTCGGTCAGTTTCTACATTGAAGCTAGCTGCATGATCACCCGTAAAATCGCCCCATGATCGATAAATGATGTAGAACGATGATGCCCAAGATAAGATGCAGCAAATCAGCCAAAATGTTCTGCAATTAATAAAAAGGATAATATTTATGATTCATGATACTTGGTATGAGAGTATTAGTGCGAAAACTGTTTTGTCACGAGTTCGTGTACTTTTACATTTCGGGAAGCTCTCTAAAGAAAACAATTTTTTTTTCGTACATTTTGTGTATAGAAGGTTATAAAATGATGAAAATATTTTAATGGAAATACCAGGATTTCCCCCCTGATATCAATAAAGAGGTGTTTCCTTAAAAACGTCTACTTGTCTATTCCTACAATTACAATAGAGAAGAGGGAAATGTTTTCCTTAATGGAATCTGTCTTATTGATTCAACAAAGTTACAAAGAATTGTTTTTGTGACCCATTAAATTGTACTATAAAATGAGAAAATACTACTAATATTTTTCTCAAAAAAGGTGTTTTCAATATTTTACATAAGTAAATGCTGTGCACAAACTATTCACAATGAATCTCACTATAGAACTTACCGTTCGATCCAGTGATATCCAGGTGCGGCTAGAAACTTTAAGCCATGAATGTCGGAATTGCAGCAGTAAATTTGTACTAGTCTTGTAAGTGAGAATGTCGACATTCGGATGGAACAATATGTATATCTGTGCTGACTACCCGCTGAACATAGAAACAAGGAAGAAATGAACCTCAGACCAACACAAATGGTCTCGTGCAGGGGAAGCCAAATGATGACATGCCTGCTAACGCTAATG